CACACAAATGCCATAAATTTGCGAACAGTTGCAATTTGTTATCAAAAATCCGGTCGGACTTTGAGTAAGCCTATGAAGCGTGCACATCCGCGTGTGCGCCCCCAAAAACACGGCGCCATTGCGTTCGTTGTTTATCCGTCGAATCACATTGACCTTTCGTAAAATTGTTTTCATATAAGCAAGTGCAGGGTTAAAGTAAGTTATGATGAGAACTTTTTCCATCCAGCCATTAACTGTTAGGTGGCTGTTACGACTGGTGTTTGCCCGACGATCAGTCTGCATCAAGCTGTTTATCTCAGTGGAATCGTGAAACAGGTCAGGCGGTTTGACTGAACGTTTTCGTTTGGTTCCATTATTTTTTATCTCAATAAATCTTTGCCTTGCGTCAAATTTCCTGCGTTTAATTTAACATGGAGTAAGTTCGTCGTCTATAAGCGCTTCGCAAAAGTTGATCTGAAATTGGAACTTTGAAGCAGGGCTAGCAAGTTAATTTCGCCTCGAATGAAGTGCAGTAGATAGATTCCACGCACAATTTTTGCCTAGAAACTGGCGTAGGTTTTGGAAATATTCAGTCAAAACGAAGCTCGCTCGCAACTATCAGGTAAAAGTCCTGAAGAGTGTGGTTATTGTGGCAAAGCACACTCGGCCAGATCACATTCGGTGTGACCCCTAAAATGGAACAGAAACTGTCTCACATTAACGCCGAGTGAGCTACGATCATCTTCGCTATCGGCTACACCGAGCACCGTTTCTGCTCACGCGTGTGAATAAACCCCATTTAGTTGGAAAATCATAATATGGGGGGTTATGGCCAACCACTAACGTACTACAAAGAATCACCACATAGACTTCATCACTAATTGGAACGGTGCAGATATATACCGACTTCTCGGGTACCGTTTATATTGGTTTGTAGCCATATGTGGTATTACCTCAAACACCTCGACCGTCACCTGGACCCCATAGATTGATAGGCTGCATCCACAGCACTCAGACTTATTATTACCTCTGTCAGAACATTGTGACAAGTCCTGCTGTCTTGTCTGTTACTGTGATTGTGACAAGGAAGCAAAAAACTTCTTGCTGATCATAGCATGAGCTATTAAGTATATGATCCAAACATGACTTGTGATAGAATACCAGCTCCTTGTTCCCTAAACACCTGATTGCAATTGCGCTGGTGCTAGTCCGAATCAAATGGGAATATGAAAGCTTGGTTGCAAAAATCTAGAGATACATCGGATTCACTTATAACACCATTTATTTCCAGCTGGAGTTAGCTAGAAGCGTGAACTTACAGGAGAATCTGTGGTTCGAACCCAGCCAGGAATCTGAATGCTCCTGTCCAGGCGTGGGCGAATTGACAGTATCTTGGCCCTTGTGCTTCCTCCGGGTCTCGTGGCAGCTAGGCACCGAAACGGTATTCAACCTGAACGAATATTAAGATTATTATTATTCCTTACTGGGACTGCGCGAAGAAAGTCCGTGCTTCTTTTGAACTGCTCTCTGTTCGGAGGACTTGATTCTTCTGCTTCATATCACGTCGTACTGAGTGTATTTTTATAATGTTTCCTGGTCTAGTGATACGCTTATTTTCGCAGTGGTAGCGCTAGGATTTTACTCACAGTGGAAGCAAGGACCCAAATGTTCAATCAATTCGATTATTTTTTACCTAACCTGGCCTCAGCTGCTAAGCAATGGGGCCCTTCCTGTTTTTAGTTAGCCCTGCATTGCTCACTGATTGCGAAACCCGAAGGCCTAGTTCAAAATGAAATAGTGAATAAATAAGGCTTAGTCTGTGTCTTAAGAACCCCGTGCATAAGTATCGTGTTATGTAGGATTCCGAGACCTAAAGGGGCGATCATGCGTTTATATAGGCTTCTGGTTGGTTAGTTCAAAGCTTAATATCTTATTCATCGTGTGACTACCACATAACGAAAGTTGAGGTCAAGCTACCTCGATGGTTAAGGCATCAGACTACTGCTTGTTTCGAACCATACTCCTGCTTTTCGGTTGCTGCTGTCTAAGGTTGAACAACTTTGTAGGATCTCAACCCTCGTGCTTTCTTTGAGTCTCACGGCAACTGCATCCCGAAAAAGTGCCACAGCTTATACTGCATCCGAATGTCGTACTTGGACTCTTCCGCCAAATTTCCCAACTTTTCTTCCACGTACTTGATTTAGAATCTTCGGTTCACCGAACTCCTACTCCACTCTGTACTTTCAACGAGACAAACATGGTCAAGTGTTTCCGTTTGCGTCCAACGTGAGTACATCGACCTTTTTTGTCCTAACTGCAGATTAACTATGGTTTCTCCCAGTTCGCGCACTTTTGTTGAGTTGTTCTGACTGGTTCCAATCAGTCTATTGATTCTTTATTTACCAGTGCAGAACTTTTGTTTGTGCATTATTAGCCGGTATGTTTTACCCTTATGACATCCTTGGTATACTCGTCAGCTTGTCCGCCTTAATTGCGTCGTAAAAGCTCTTGACCTTGTCACATCTCTGACCTGGAGGTCACCTTGCGAGTCATGTAGGATTTCCAGCTGCCCTGGCTTTGTTAGCGAAGGAGAACATTATGCCCTGGAGACGTCAGCTCAAGACAAGCACACTTAACAGGCAGCGTCGTACCGTTGTAGGCAGGCCTAACCAATGTTGCCGGACGACCATGAAGAGGCGTTCATTGGCCGGTTCGCGATAGAACATAGGCACGTATGGTTTGTTGTTTTAAGGTATATCGAATTTATAACGATTGGCAACAGCAGTCTCGTGGAACGGGATGCAAGTGGCATCACCTCAACACTCACACTGGAGCTTTCAGTCTTTTTTAATTTGTCATTCAGGGTGGGTGAATCATACCAGCAAAAGTCCTGATGCATACCAGTGTGTGACGTCAGACTTGAAAGCCTGATTTGCATAGACATAGTAATTATGTTCCAAACGCTGCTCGATTTTTCTAGCTATAGATTGCGCGATACCATAAAAGCCATTATTTCCTTGACGCTGGCTGAAGGACCGGGTAATATCAATAAGGTTATGTGAGAATGATGTATAAATGAAGACAGGACGACATATGTGTTGCTCATCGAAGTCCACTTGTTAAAAGTTAAGCTTGAGATCTGCACTGTTGCGTGATTAATTTGACAGGCTTGGCGGCTAGCGTCATCGTTTTCGAAATTTATGACCTCAGCCATGGGATGTGCTCTTCGGTCTCCTAAAACTGTTTATGCATTTGCCAAGTGCCATTATTTTTGCCCCGCACTTGTATCAACTACCTGAAGAGGTCTTTGAAGAATAAGGCACCCGTGTGTGAGCAAGTGGTGTGTGTAGATTCCCCTTCAGATTGAAGGGGTATGCGGACACTAGGTCAGACACTCATGGACTTAGCCTTTTGACCATTCATCATACTCACTAAGCATCATTCGGTCAGGTCACACTGCCTTCCGTCACAAACGCTACGCCTGTCTGTTCAGGCAATTCGTTGCTTGATATTCAAATCTGACAAGGACATGTGGGTAGGCACCCCACTGAGACAGTGTTCCAGTTGTCTGTTCAACTGCGCCATGCATATGATTAATGGGGTAGAATATGACTGTGGTTGTTTTTATGGTCGTTGTCTTGCCGATCTCCTTGTAGTGCCTGACCGAGGGGTTAGCCGGGTAACTGGATGATGATACCGTTCGAATGAATATTTCAAGGCCGCCTATGTCCAAGGACAAACGTATGCATCGATCTCCCACCTATTCCACTACTAGTAAAAGAAAGGGCACCTGTGGATGCGGAGTCCTTTGTCGTGGAACACAAACAAAGCGGACACAAGCAAAAACCTGGGCTTCGGAAAAAGCCAACATCCTCAAGGCTCTTAAGCCTTCCCGGATGTTGTTTCAATATATGACACTAATGTATAAACGGTGCTACAATGGTTCAGTAATGAATGTTAATGTGAGACTGGTTCATTTTCAATAGAGAGTTCGTCCTGTCAGTGAAGCCAATCTATGCTGAAAAGCCGAGAAGCACTCTACAGTTGTTTAATTCTTGTCGGAAATCATTAGCAGTTGCATCTCACGAAAGTCAGAGACTTTCCTGTCAGTAAGCCAATCTATGCTGAAAAGCCGAGAAGCACTCTACAGTTGTTTAATTCTTGTCGGAAATCATTAGCAGTTGCATCTCACGAAAGTCAGAGACTTTCGAACCCGCGATCTTCAGCTCAGTGGTTAATTACTTGACTATTTTGCTACGAGTGTCTGATCAGTGGTGTGATTAAGTTTCACCTGGAAAAGACATAGTGCCACTCATATCTTAATAATTTCAATCCAATAATTTCTAGATTGACCTTTCGTCAGATCTGGCGCTTTGAATTACTTTGACCAGATTCTGCTTACCGTTTATCAGTAGCACACACACTTGCACTAGCACCAAAAAACCATTAAATCTTAGTGTGTGAGGTGGAAGAATGTACTAAAGCGAGCGTAACTTCAAGGAACATGTGTACTTTCGTTATATACACTTTGTTTCTAGCGGTTGCGAATTCTTCACCTGATTCCACCGGACTCCATCCCTTCTGTGATAAGGGTATTTCCAGTGTAGACTCTGAGGGTGAACAGTGCTCCCTCTGTTTCTGTTATGACTTCGTACGAAAATAGCGTACTTTCACACATTCTTATTGAAAGGCTCGTTGGAGAGGTAGTCTGAAGGAGTCCCTTTTTTGGTAGTTCAGTGTTTCGTCCTCATTGGGAGGAGACAAGTTGTTTTTACATTCCTTGTACACTTGAATGCTGAACGTTGTTGCCCGCTCAGCATTATTTCCCATACTTTTTCTAGAAACTGGATCACTGCTTCTACAACGGAACTGTCCGACAGAGTCTTAACGAACCAGACCTAGAGTCTTATGTTGCTGTTGATACCTGCCATGGATTACGGTTAGTTTGGTGTTTCACCTTCGCATGTTGGTTTCCCGTCGGACCCCGAAGCAGTTGCATTTGTCGTCGGCACAGCCTTTTAGTTTGTAGTTAGCAGAATCGTTTTTCCTCAACCGAAATCATCAACAAAAACACGATTGCTTCTATCACTACTGTGCTCCGTTCGTTTGGTTTTTATCACCTTTTGCAAGTACACACCTCTGGTAATTTATATTGTCTACGAAGTTCCTATAGATAGAAAAGCTAACGCCCGAGGAACAGCGTTAGGACTCTCGGTGATCGCTTGAGGTGTGATTACAGTGCTGTCGGTGGTGGCGTATGAAATAAAACCACTCTTTCGTCAAAACCTTTTTTGAGGTTCCTCAGTGTTTCCACGGTGTAAATGGGAACTCCCGGTTAAGGCTGCTTCTAGATAACGACCACCCACTGTATACAGCGTCTTACTAGTATGTCCGAATGAGATGATGGGTTGCATCACGACTCCCATCATTCTGGCAACACATTCCTGTTGAAACACACCTTATACCGACCTATCTGGAACCCAGTGACCTCTTTTCTAACACAGGGACCGATCATCTCGATTTTCATGAACATTTAAAACAGTTTTAATTTAGCATGCATGGTATTTGGCGAGGTGAACCTCCAGTTCGTAGAAAAATCGGTCCCACTTGCAAGCAACACCGACGAACAACGAACAGTACTCGGATTTGCTTAGCCTCCTCGCTGAGTGTTTGGCTATGTAACAAAACGTCACTTTTCAGTCTTTCTTGTCATTTCGCAGTGAATGATGTTTTTGTATTGACAGCAAGTCGGTTTCTTAATCAGATTAAAGTACCACGGTCAACTTCTGAAAACATTTGTTCTTTTTTGGACACAAACCTAATTTTGGTAGCATTAAATCTGTCACTATGCATAGTTTACAGTTATTTCGAGAACACATGCGGTAAATTTGCGTAACCGGTTTCCCTTGTTTCTGGATTTTCGTGGAGTTTAAAAGCTCTTTTTGGTGCTCGCACATTCAGCAATATGGATTTAATAATTTTCAAGCCGACCTTCCATCAGATGCAGAGATGACGCTTTAAACTTCTGTGACCAGATAAAACTTCCACGTTTGGTCAGTTGACTTTGTATTCACATCAGTCTCATCTGAGCCGTACCTCTCCTGTCCTGGCACCATTATCTTGGTTACACTACACCGAAGCAGGAAAGCACTAGGCTTGAGTTTCGCTCGCTAGCAGTGCATATCCTCGGTCATGCCGGGACTTGTAACCCGAACATCTAGTATGCCGATCAAGCCTGTCACAACTGTCCCACCAATGCGCCTAGGGTATCTGAATTATCACATTTGGCACCATAGTGCTTTCCCTGACCGCTTAATCGACGACTCAGTAGCTGCCCTAACCCACTGTTCAATGAATATACGTAATCATATGCGTTTTGAAGCCAGTTCCACCCATTCTTTTTCCTTGCCGTTGTGCGCAGACAGTACTAATTCCCCGACTTCAAAACACATGGCTTCCGTGTCGGGTAGCAATTAAGTGAACCATAGGCTACCTAATTCTGCTCCAACCTCGAAAAATATTTGTTTTCCTCTTCAAGGCGATATTTCGGGCAACTGATAAACGGTGGGCATAATGTGCACTTTACAGCGAAATAAAGGAAACAAAATGTCGTGGAAAAAGATATGAACACTCGGTTATTTATGCGTTTTTTGATAACTTCGCTCACAATTTTCAAAGAATTCGCACTTCCACATTATTTGAATTCAGATGAGTGTATTCCGACAGTTGTCTGCAATCCGATACTCAAGTAAAACAAAATTGTTAGAAAACCGGGAATTACACCTAAATGACAAACCTTAAGAAATGCTGTGAGCTCTCAACACCCTTAGGAGTAGAATTGCTCCAAGATATCAAGCCTGTGTCCTCCGTGCAACACACATGTTAATACAGTATCCTCATCCAAACTTAAGCTCAAACAAAAAGACATCAAACAGAGTACAGACAGGTGGTTCTGGATTCCATTGAGATTGGCAATAGGCCACGGACACGTTCGGATTGTGTGTGCGCGGTGAAAAGGAGTTCATTAGAGTTTGCTGACCTTTAATGTGACTACCCGTGCAGAATGCGCTCAGTCCCATGCAGACTGAGGTTTTGTAATGATTTTTGTCCCAGATTTGCTTCGTATTTGTCATGATCCAAAGACGTATGGTAGATCATCCAAGCTAGTTCGTAAATGCCGATTGTTAACTTCAAGTAAATTTCGACTTCGAAGCCAACAATCACTACGCAATATGTGATAATATCCTTTTCAACTGGAAATTCCAACCCCTCCCTTAACCTACTAACAAGGCGTCAATGTGTGAGATGCCGGACTGGTGGAATGTCGACTGGTCTACGAAACTGATGTTGCACCAATACTCCCTACGGCATTTTAAGTTACACTCTAAACCCTCAGATACACAGTACAGTAGTTTAGCGGTTAGAAGCCCGCTGTTCAACTTCCGAGGTCTTCTTGGTCCCCTGATTGCCACCGTCTAAATATTCCTTTCGCTAAATAAAGACGCGAAGCCAACGTATTTTCCAATTCTGGTTAGATGCAATGCATACGATAATTGTTTGTTATGATCATCACTTTTTGCATGTACATAAAACTGATTTGATATAATCCATATTATGCTTTTCCAAACGTCTGCGTTATCTGCGCTCTCTCAAGACTTCTGTTTAATTTTTTTTATTCCTAGAGGTCTAATTGTGGTGGAAAAGGAGACTTTTGGTATTTTGCCACTACAATGCTCATCGTGTCAACCAGGATTGATGCCTCATGTTGCGTTTCCACAGGTGCCTAGCCCTATTGATCGTAGTGAGTTCAAAGCATTTTTCCACTGCTGGTCGTTTGGTAAACTTTATTCAAGTATAAGTACCACCTTAGGTTCCCTCAGGGCCTCAATTAATCCGTTTGGTGGCAGATTTGAGTTTGTTCGTCTCTAGTGAGGTTTTCGGACGTACGTCCATAATTGAAAACCCTTCATGCATTCGTCTTTGATTATATGACATGTATTCTGTCAAACGGTAGTGCTTGAGAAAACGATAAACAAAATACTGGCGAGTTGAAACCTCTCAACTGGAATCCGGGACGCGATATCCTCTAACGATTACTATTAAAACCGCCTCTTGTTTAGTTTATTTCTGCCCGTTATTTTCCCTGTTTTTTTTCCGTTATTCTAATAGATGTTCCTTTGCCCGTGTTCTGGCAACCCACTGAGGTAATGTCGCATACCTCAAGACGATTCAAGAAATTGGGCGAGCATATTTATCCCGTTCGATTGGCTGTGATTTTGGACCATCAACTGGTAAGCATGTGATTGTGTTTCAAATTGAAACATCTTTATGCCAGATGAAGACCATGTAGTAATTAACTACGAACCTTATTTCTGCTGGGTCGTTGACACCGTGGTGGGTGCTGCCTACATTTAGTTGACAGAATGCAAAAGTTTTTGTTAAATACCATTTGCATTCTGTAAAATCCGATTTCTTGACGAATTAGAGATCAGAATTTTACCTCCTCTTTATAATCTAAACAGCTGGTATATGTCGTTCGTATTCCGCTACTTTACTGCTGCCTATATGGTCGGTTTCCCAACGAAGTTCCGCGTTTTTGGCATGATCTTCTCCTAGTCTTCCAACCTTGAGTTTGGCTGGTTGGTACAGTTACGTGTTACTGGTTACTTAGCTCGCTGACGTGAGAGACAGAGAGCATCGATATTAGCACCTGTTTTCGAAAGACTTTAGATGTCCAAGAACAATTTGTTACCTCTTGGATGGTGACATACTCACAGTGCCACCGGTCACCTAATGTAACTCTTAAGTATTTGTATCTTCTGTGAGCACATTGGCTGATCTCATTCGCTTCTCATCCTAAAAATCATATCCTTCCATTGATTTCAACAGTTTGTCACATTTGACCGAAAGTTGGAAGGCTGTATTCACTATATTGGTGCCATCATCAATCAGGCCACGAGGGTGAGTTATCTTTTTACAGGCTTCTGATTGCAGCATATTAGATTCATTGTTTAACAGCGCCTGAAAATTCGGCAGGTTTATGCTCATAATATCCATAATAACTGAATGTAAACCAATCGCCCAAGCATTACCACGTCCGCCTATTCAAATGTTATGATTCAGGTGCGCCCAGCGTGCGCTACTGGGGCTCAAACCATGTCACTGTTGATGAGTGCGGTGTGTAGACCCAGCAGAACGATTGCGCTAGAATGTAAGGAAGATTGTTCAAACGAGGGTGATGGAAATTCCACAATTTTCACAACCACCTACAACTGATGAGTCCAGATCGTCAGAAGTCCTGCTGATATGCACCAGGTTTGCTCTCATTCGCTGTGTGTTGTGTTGCATTCTGGATACAACAGCCAAAACCTTCGTTTTTCAGATCGGAATCCTGGTTAATGTCTCTTGCTGACTTTGAGCTGTAGATGATCCATCTGTTCGTTTGTACTTCCCCATTTCTTTCAAGATCTGCGCTCTGCCGTCCCGGTTAAGATTGTCATCCTCCCTTACCGGTCTGGTACCTACGGCAGCAACCTACAATTTTAAAGTACCCGCTCCGTTATGGCTTCCAAAAAGCCAAACAAACTGCATCTTGTCGGACAAACGGTTGTATTGTGGCCATGAACAGCCACACGTCCGTATTGACGGGGAGAGGTGGTTACGGAGGTTGATGCAAGAAGCACTACGAACAATCCATGAGTAAATGAAAAAAAAATTCTCTCGATGAGTGAGACCTCCATATGAGGAAGCATCACTTAAGGCGCCGGTCTACATGTGTGAGCACGTGATGCGGATCCCGCAATTGAACGATGAGTGGCGCTATCACGCTGCTGATTAGCTGCTTGAGGTCGAAGGGTTAGAGACTCCCTTGATTTTCGTGAGATACGAGAAGCACTGTGCGGTTCCAATTCCATCGCGTTCATTGATTTTGCCCTCAGGTCGCACTTTTATTGCATCAGCTGTTTCACGATCCACGCACATCCTTTTTCACTTCCAGGAAGTCAGTGCTACACCTCATTAGAATGCGGTAAGGGATTTCGTACGGTTTTTCAAGCTCCTGGGCCTGTTTTTTCTGTAGTTGGAGGAAAGACCTTACTCCTCACCAACTACCATGAGTCAATAAGCGGCCCAGAGAAACGATAATATCACTGGATATGTGAAACTTCCACCCAAGAATTCGTTACTCAAGTAGCCAGTCAATGCTTGACCACATGATGTGGTTTACATTATTGAAGGATGAGTGGCGCTATGTCCAGCTACTCACTGCTGATCAATCACTCGTGTCCAAACGGTTAATTGTTCAACGTACTAACCGGGAGTTCGTAGATACAAGGCACCCTGGAGCTTCGTAAGATACACACCGCTGATGATTCTCAATAAGGATGAAACAGCTGTACAGTGCTTCTCGACTTTTCAGTATATATTGGCTTCACTTATAGGACGAAACTTACAACAAGTGACACTGCTGTTTGAGCTGTTTTTCATAGCTATTTCCCTTACTGTCTGAAGTAGTCTGCTCCGTAAAGCCAATCTGAAGCATCACCATTTCGCTTTTCTTCGGAAACTTTCCGATGTACTTTACTTTGCCGGTTACCCCAATAACCCCCGGAATCAGTTCCAGCGTACCGCTAGCTATATCTCCTGATTCTCACAGCCCTTCCGCGCAGCACACACTGATGTAATTAACGTTCACTCCGAAACACTTCATTTCCATCATTTTTGCATTTTGTTCCAGTCTTTTCAAGAAACTCCGGTGGAATTGAAGCTGGTGCGCTCAGAAATATGGAATCTTGAAAACCGTATTTCTTTAAACTCCAGCATCAAAGTGACTTTGAATAATTTGGCGAATTACTCTAGTCGGCACCCCCGGCGTCATCCTCCTGGTAACGGCACGACTTCTGTTTTTGTTGGCTCAGACCAGAAGCATAGTCCGGTGGGTAATCCTGGCTTTTCGTTACATTCATTTCCGTTCATCCTCAGACTCCTTACATCAGTTTAGGGCTCTCTACACCTTACCGCTTATTGCCTCTCAATATTAAGTTTGGCATGCGCAACTTGATTGGATTCTGATTTGAAAACCCCAACTAAGTTCAGCTATTCGTTTTTTTCGGTATTCGGTAGTGTTTATTCTCTTGCGACTTGATTTCGGCCGTCAACAGGCACCTTGCTTTCTGGTCGGAGAGGCTAAAACTTGTTTCCTCACTGATAGGATTAGTCCACGGGATTAGTTCTCCGCGTGTTTACTGACATGGCCTTAACTGTGTATGTGTTAATCATTCTTTTCCACCAGGTCATGTAACCGCATACACTTACATATTGTCGCAAACCTTAAGGTGCTGCTGAAAAATAATTTGAATCTCCACGCTTCCCGTGCTTTTCCGGTGCATTCCTGACGGGTGTCGTTCGGTTGACCTCTTGCACAGCGGTCTGCCATCAGTCGAAACACCAATTCACTGTGGTACTTTACTTTTTGAATAGATTTTCTGCAGACTGATAAACCGTGTTCTTTGTCCTCAGTACTCGTATTTTCTGGAGGGATTATTTCGGAAGCCTCTTCTAGAATTTGTGGAGATGATCCAAAGAACTGCCATATGTTGAGTAAACAATACACTGGTCCACTATACAACAAAAAACATTGAAGTTCATAAGCAGTCACTGCAATTTCTGATGAAATGTCTCGGGACAACGAACATTAGCTTTATACCTACAGTCACGACGCCGCCACTACTGCTTCGATGGGGTGCCGTATGAACGCTGCGCCGGCGAAATTGATCGCTCGACTTTGCGTTTTGAACAACTATTAAAGTTTAAATGACCATAAAATGATTACACAATGAACATTCCAACCTGACACAGTTGTTGTTTTGAAGGTGAATTCTGTCACCACTACGTCGACTATGCTTAATGGATAAATTCAGTCATCTTCCCGACGGACCTTCGTCATAAATTATTTCGGCTAAAACTACTAAAATACACCAATGATGATCATCGAGCTGGAGATAGTTCAGTGCTTACGGTATGAACTTAAGGCTCGTGGCTCCAACTCAGTCCCGACTTCTGTCCAGGCTTGGGTAACCTGGCAGATTTAGGCTCTCCTGCTTCCCTGCATTGGTATGGCAGCTGTGCACCGAAATGGATTTACAGCTGTACGATTATTATTATTAGTATTAGTATTATCAATTTAGTGGTGGCCATAGATGTATACCTTATTGATAATTCAAGTTTTGTAATCCAAGATGGGAACAAAACGACAATGGCAAGAAAAGATGTTACCGTTTGCTTGCCGTTTTAGTCCTTTTTTTCATAATCGTGGTTGCAAAACGAAGTTCATGTGGCGCGATTTCAAAAACTGTGCAGCAAAGCCTACTCTAATCTCACCGACAAATTAAGCGTTGTTCCTTTCATGCAATAAGAATTTTGCCCAATCACACCAAAGTACGACAGAATTCGGGCTTCCTTTTTTTGTACAGAGCTAATCGAACATTTACTGATGGGTTAAAAATGAATGAAAGGTCTTCCGTCAGCGACTGACGCTCTACCTGTCATGCATTACCGGACTATTCGACCTATTTTCACTTTTCACAGGTACTGCGCTTGCACCGCCGTGCAATCTCTAATGCAGTGTCCGATGTTGCCGCACCCACTCTAGAATCACATGACGTGGAAGTATTGTTAACCACGACGCAATTTACCGAAGCGGTTGAATATTTGGCCGTTCCGGACAGCATTTGCACCCCACGGGCATTGACAGTCATTCAGGTGCGTTTTCATTCCAGCTTGTCGATCCCATCGTGATGTTTGGTTGATTTTTTCTGAGTACTCACCCATAAGCGGGTTACTAACTGCTGTGAACGACTTGTTCTGTTTTTAACGGTCGGAAAAATTTGTGTGAAAGCTAAATTGCCACCTTACTGAACATTCTTTCTTTATTGTGCCAATGCTAATAGACTATTAGTCTTTGACGAATGTATGGAGTGTTTGTAGAGATACTACTACCTTTTTTACCTAATCGTTGATGGGATACTTTGAACCATCACCTGGTCACGTTTCACTGGTGTTCATCCCCACGTTTTTATTACTTAAGTAGTAGAGACTATACTACTACGACATAATCAAGTCGATGGATCTGGAACACATGAGGAGCGAGTAACCCCGCTATTGATTAGAACTTAAAAGGTTCGGGAAGACAAATATTCATTCATCATATTTAGATTAGGGTTGCAACAATTTTGAGAAGCAAGTGGATAGAAGGTGCTCCGAATTTGTATTAAAAACACGGTAATAGTTCGCAAAGTACCCTAGCTTGCACACTGGCTTGTTTTTAACGGGAGAACCGATTGAATTCTAGCCGAAATTTCGTTGAGAACATTCTTCAACCCAATGTACTGCACAAGGTCGTTTCATGTTTCAGTTGCGACGATATTTCAGATACTACAGTTTATTGTGTATTTCCTGAATTGTATCGAGATTAATTCAAACAGGACATAAGGTTGACGGAAACTGGGGGCTGCGTCTACTTGTTGAGTCCCAAGGAGGGTAAAACCGATCATGGGCTGTCAAAGCGTTTTCAGCAAACTTGTGAGTAACTCCTTTCAAGAAACTACACCGTAGTATCTCGACTATCGTACCGAGTGAAACATTATGCAAGCGTTATGCAGCATATTCATTTGAACAATATAGTAAATGAGATATTCGGTTGGGTCTCCCGATATAGAAACCAAACCAAATAGGACGAAACCAGTCGTGGGCTGTTGGAGAGTTTCCAGCAACCTTATGAGTAGTGTGTTCCGTGAGGACAATAGTCATTTGCATTGGCAGCTGATTTCATCTAGGTAAAAATTGACAAGGTTCAGGAAACTGAACAACGAATTGAACAACATTAAATGTGGAACCCATCAAACGTTAATGGCGAGTCAGGGGGAGGGCTTGATTGTCATCGGATGACTAGCAGGTGGCAATGACGGGAGCAGATTTCAGCTGCATTTACCCAAGTATGGAATCTTGAAGACGAGGCATGTTCCTGAATTATCATATGTTGGTGAGACTGTTTGACATCGAAACATGGCTGTACCGTTACCAACTTGAAGAGGACATGTGGAAGTAAGCTGTTGCATCATACACCAGATGTATTCCGATGCGTTTCTTGGACTGCATGTTGCGGAAAATTATTAGATGAAATAAATAGCGCAGTGGTGAAACTTATCAATGATATTCCTATGAGATTTCGGAATTTTCCATGGAAATTCCTTCTTCTAATTGAAACCAACATATGCTAAAAAGCTGAGAGGCTGTAAAACTGTTTGCTCCTTATGGGAAATTTTCAGCAGTGCACATCTCACGAAAATTCAGGGAGCTCCTGATCCGTTTTTTTGTTTACCTCATATTTCTCTGGTGTGTACATTAGAAGAGATAGAACGAAGTACACTCGGTATGTCGCGCAACAGCACCGTTAGATGTATTAATCTGTCTGATTTAGCCTATTCCTATACTTATCTGCTTCTATTAATCAGTTGGAGGGCCGTCGCGTGACCAACATTCAGCGTTTTTTGTTTTTCTTAATCATTGGAATCTTTTTACGGGTTACTGGTAGAGGTAAATTAGTCCCGATTTGGAACACCTTTGCGAACACATCTTGCTCTTGCTTGTTAACGTTTTTCTTCATGAAGTGCGAGGACCTCAACCGTCGGTACTACTTGTTTTATTGGTGCGAATCTCGCTCAACAGTGGCTACATGGGCATGTAATGGGATCAGGTACATTTCAACGAATGCTGCGAACTAAATGAACTGTCGTAAACAATTGAACATTCTTGTCATAAATATTTGAATTCTTATATCTAGGTCTGGTCAGTGCCTTACTTGATCACACCATATGGGTATTAACGCCGATGCACTCGTTTACAGACATTCTCGTACATTGTTTTAACTCGTTTCACGATGTGTGGCCTAAAAGAGCGTATATAGTTGATGGAACAACCATACCGTGCTTCGCGCGAGGCGAGCCATGTCTTTTAAGGAGGTGTCTGTTAGGGGCCCTTTTCAAAGCACTTCCTGTTCAGTTAAGCGCGTTTTTTCAATCTGTTGAGCTATTATTATTATTATGACTGGTTATGAAGAGATTGGACCTAACCGTGGTGTGACGGTCTGTGCACCTCGGTGACCCATTGACCTATACTGGAGGGTGTACGCATGACACTCACAGAGTCTATCATACCAGTTTGGTCAATGGGTAGAGTTCTGACGAATACAGTCCCCTGGCCCTCCACGTTGGGTTTGGAACTTGTGTGGCGACATATTCCGTGAAAATGATAGTGTACTTGCATTCCCATCCCAATACCACAATTTCACCTTTTCCCTCTTCCACCATCCCCCACCTAAATTTGAACACTTTCTCCGCAGGTCCCAGCTCTAGGACTGACTATTTTGCTCACTCTGCATCACATCTAGCTGCAGTTTTTGTACGTCCGAGTACAATAACAACCTTAAACATTTCGAAGTCTGTTTTCACACCCCGAAAACCTGAAGCATGCAGGCCAACAGGTGGCTCTTCATCATACACTGGATTCCCTCTGTATTGATGTATGTTGTCTGTCAACTTGAAGCAAGCAGGCCAACAGGTGGCTCTTCATCATACACTGGATTCCCTCTGTATTGATGTATGTTGTCTGTCAGAAACAAGGACGCAGGACGCAAGTACTGTGATCGAACTGACTGCCCCCGCTCTCTTCCAGCTTCCGGCTGTGCACCTCTGATAATGCAGAGGCGGCTGCATCTAGATATGCTGAGTTGGCTATTGCGTTGAGTGACCGAGACTTAATTGGATGCCCGTTGGTAGTCAACTCTGTGCGGTTCGTTTGGGAAAATCTGTGAGAGAATCTTGAGGAAATCGAGTCCATTACACCTTGTTTATTGTATCTGCTTTCTCCCCAATCGACTGTAGCTCTGAATCTGCCAAGGACAGTTTCAATGACGCTCCAGCTGCCCTTCTGCAGCGGATTAAAATCTCAGGTGTTGTGGTGGTTGCTGGTGATATGAACGCCCAGGTAGGTAGACCAAACGCTGCTGAGCCCCGAATGGATTGTCGTCTTGGATTGGACACGAGACGCATGACCAACGGGGACGGATTCCTCCAGATATGCGCCGGTCACAGACTTCCTTTGCGGTACGAATTTCCGGAACAGCAGAAATCGCTTGACAACGTGGTTCCTACAAAAAAACACAACCATGAGTCCAGACCAGACCGTCGTCAACTATCGGTGGCGAGGGTCGATCACCGCCTCCAGCAGAAATTGACAACGTGGTTCCTACAAAAAAACACAACCATGAGTCCAGACCAGACCGTCGTCAACTATCGGTGGCGAGGGTCGATCGATCA